TCTTGCTTTTACAATGGCCACAAAGTACCTTTGCCCTCCTGTTGGCACTCCTGATGCCATCCAGCCTGCTCCACCTGGCAGCTCAGTGTCCTGACCAGAGCACAGCTCCGGCAGGTGAGGCTGCTGTCACCCCCAACCTCTGAGATGCTCCAGGCACTCCCTGCAGCCTGCATCTGGACAGCCACATCCTCCCCAGGGTTGTGGTCTCCAGTATGCTGGGGTAGTTGCTCTAGCTAGTGCCGAGGACAGTGTCTTGTGGCTTGTCACCATCATCACTGTGTCCCCTACTGGTTCAAGCACCATCTATGTCCTTTCTGTTCACTCTCTTCCACTAACTCCTTCCTGTTTGCACAAGCTGGTCACAGCGGTCCTTAGGTGTTGAGAAAGAAGAACACAAGCCTGCTCTGCTCCCCCGCACTCAGCAGGCAGCTTCTCCATCCCTCAGTTCTTCGCTGCATTTCTCCCACCTTATGAATGCCGGCTCCCCCCGGGCAGGCTGCGTCCTCACGCACCGTGCGCTGAACAGGACACAGAAGCCTGACACACACCTGCTTCGTCCCCATTAGATTTCCTGCTCAGCATGCAACTGCTCATACTGCTTTTTTTTGTTCCCAGCTGCTGTTCATTCCGCTCATAAACACCAGGTCTGCATTTTTTCTCCCGCACTGTGCTTACAAAGCTTTAAAAAGCTCTTTTGAGGAGCTTACAAAGCATTCTGTTCCCCTAGGTCAAATGACACACTTAGGCAAAAAACCTCAAAACTAAAAGCAAACATTCAGTTCATTGAACAAAGCAAGTGTTCCCCAAAATAACCATTTAATTATATGCTCAGCTTTGATGTGATCTCTCTACTGTTCCTCAGCTACCGTACCAAGACAATGCTTGAAGACTGCACTAGCAAAAAGAGAATGAAGTTCCATCCTCTTTCTGTACTTAAAGGCTCGCTATACATTTATTGACCATTTTTCCCCAAAAGGTACAATGGACTTGGCTGACTAAGGTGATTCATTTTGAGGCCTGGGAGAGAATAGTTTGTGACACTTCTTTGAACAGCAAGTTATAGACTTATATTTTGCCCTCTGAAATATTAGAAAGAATAAGTGATTTGGAAGAAGTTACACAAGAAGATTTGAACTGTGATTGGCTTTAAGACATTACAGACATATTCTGAAGAAGTGACATATTGTACATGCAAGGACAGCTAAATGTATTTTTCCTATTATTCTGTACAAAAAAAAAATCACAGCAGCAACAAATTTTAGTAACCCAGCAGCCCAAAACCAGAAATTATATGCAGAGGTCACTGGGATTTGGGGGTTCCCCCCCCCCATTTTTATTAGGAGAATTTAGTACTGTTCATGATATGTAAGCAAAGAAACTGATACTTTTTGATGTTCATTGCAGTTCTGTCAGAGGTTCAGTCTTTGGCTAACTCAATGACCTTGACCAGTCCAGTTCCTTTTTTTTTTTTGTAGAAATCAAGACAGTTATATGTTGCAAGTTATGTTTTTGCAATACTGCATTCATTATAGCTGGTCTGTAGAGGATTTAGCTTCAAGGTGAACGAAATCACTTACAAGTCTAGCAGACCTGCATCTCTTACAATTCAGTTCTACTTCTCTCTTGGCTCTACCTTACAAGGAAAACATCAAACCAAAAAGACCTACTGAAATGAACATTTCCTGAAATGAACAGGAAGCACTGTAGTCATCTTGCCGAGATTTAATTCCTGCTGCCCAGACAATGCTAAAACTAGAAGTTTGTTAGCTTTTATCTACAACTGAACTGAAATAGCCACAGATGCATTCTTTCCTGAAGAGAAGGCTGGGCTTTTGTAGAACGTATTTCAGTGAAAGTTAGCATGCTAAAAAGCAAACAAAGTAGTAAAACCCTTATCTTCACCCAACCACCCTGTCAGTTACAGAAATGTTCAAGTTGTCTCAAGAACTAGATATATTGTCTAAATAAGGACTATATTATCAAGACAGTCTAAAGCTGAGAGTGGTTTTATTACTGTTGGGGAAAACATCACTTACGAGGAAATATTTGATCGGATGTGCCATGGTTTCTCACTTTGGTTAAAAAAAGAAGAAAGAGTGGAATACAGTAACTTCACTACAAAAAAAAAAAAAAGAGA